CATAGATTGCTATTCCAAATTTCACCATCGTTTTCTTCCCTTTGATGCAATGCTCACAAAAAGCTAATTTACAAGTCCGAGCACCCTTCAATAATCCTTGATCTATCAGCAATTTCAAGGATTTTTCACCAGCATGCCCCAAGCGCATATGCCATAACCTGGTTGCTTCTAACTCCCTGTTCATCAGTAAAAGCTGCCACTGCTGCTGTCCCAACAATTATACTACCCAGAAAGTAATACACATTGTTTCTTTTTCGGATTCCCTTCATTATCACCAGTGCACCAGAGATAATCCTCATAATCCCATCTTTTACCCTCACTTCTAAACCTTTTGACTCTAAGGTTCCCACAAAGATGAGATTTCTCATTAAATCTGGTACATAATGGGCACTGTTAAGGTTCTGATTGATCTATCTTGATTCCTCAAGCGAATTGAACCAATCCGAAGTGTGTCAAGAGGGGAATTATTTGTTGTGTAGACAATTCTACCTTTTAGTTCTTTAAAATCAAAGAACCATTATCTATTGGGGGTCATATGGTAGCTACAAGCTGAATCTAACAGTCGTGAACTGGAACAGCTGGTTGATGGCGTAGCAGCGAATGCGAAATCTGAATCTGCATCATCATACTTGACCACATTTGATTCTGAGACAGCCTTCCCCCTTTCAGGTTTGCCTTTATTCTTTAGCGTGGGACATTCTTTCTTCCAGTGCCATTTTTCTCGATAAAAGGCACATTCATCTTTGCTCAATCTGGACTTTGACTTCGATCTCCCTCTCCTTCCTTTATTCTGACTCTTCGAACTGCCTCTAACAACAAGAGCTTCTGCTTCGACACTTGTTTTTTCTTGTTTGTCTTTCTTTCTCAATTCATAACTATACAAGGCATCAATTACTTCACTGAGAGACACATCAACCTTCCCATGAAGTAGAATAGTTCCAAGATACTCAAACTCATCAGGAAGTGATTCCATCAATATCAGAGCCAGATCTTATTCTTCAAAAGTCACATCCATATTCATCAGATCAGTCACCAGCTGATTAAAGCTAGTAATGTGATCATTCATAGTGGTACATGGTACATAGTTGAAGTGGAACAATCTTTTTTTCATGTAGAGTTTGTTCTGACCGCTTTTCTTCAAAAAAATTCTCCTCGAGTGCCTTCTACAATTTACTTGCAGAAATTTCCTTAGAAAATGCATACTTCTGCTCTCTAGAAAGACACGATTGAATAGTACCACATGTCATTCTATTGATCCTCTTCCATTTTTTCTCCTCAACATCATTTGTGTTCTCTCCTTCAATAGCAATGTCTAGACCCTGCTGAAATAGGGCATCTAGAACCTCACTTTGCCACATGCTGAAATGACTGGTGCCATCAAAAATCTCCAGTGCAACTCTAACATTTGTCACAGCATTTCTTGCCAAAATTGAAGATGAAGAAGCGTCTACCATTTCTGCTACAAATTCTATTTAATAGCTGCCAATGTGAAATGTCAATTATCCCAAGGAAATTTTTTTCTAATGTGGAAGATCAGCCTAAGACGCAACCACAGAGCATAATAAAATAAACCAAGAGCGCTAATACCAATTGTTGTGGAATTCGAGTTAATTTCCACCAATAACATATTCACCTTTAAACTATTATCTAGGTGACTAGTGTGAAAACGATTGTATTAAAAATCACCCCAAGGTAGATTCCCAGGAAAGAGGAGGGGTCACAATGGTCCCTCTTAAAACTCACTTTCCTTAGACAGAACTACCAAGACATATAATTTTAATAGGATAATAATTAACAATAACTATACCCGACAATAGCTATTAAATAGACATAAAAGAGAACACCAAAATATTTCACTAATAGAAGAAATATTACAAAGAGAGAAAGAGTACAAATAACCTTTAATAGTGAAGAAGACTTATATTTGTGGGATGATCAACTAAGGAGGAGGAGGGCTCTACTTATAACAAAAGAATTTCCCCTCCTCCTTATACACAACCAATGTGGGATTTTGCCAAAAAACCAATAAATGAAATATATGAATGAGAAAGAGCTGGAGGCACCCTTAGCCTTTCAACACGTTGATGTAATTAGTATTTAGAAATTCATATGAATTGTATTGTAAACCATCTTCCTTTTGTTTGTTGCCTAGTTTGCTTCTAAATTTTTCAGTTCACGTGTGAAATCAGATGAGTCACACAACTGGAATTGCTCAAGATTGAAGAAGATATCTCAGAAAATACAGATAAAACTGGTTGAAGATATCTAAGTCTTGACAGTGAAATCTGAAGACACTGTTATACTGGTTGAAGATATCTAAGTCATGACGGTGAAATCTGAAGACACTGTTATACTGGTTGAAGAGAAGGAAGGTAATCCTGGAATTCTTCTTGAATTCTATGCTTTTCCATTTTTCTTTTCAAGGCTTTTGTGTTTTACTTTCTCACTTGAGTTTTATGGATTTTATGGGATTCTGGATTCTGTTTTCTGATATCATGGAAGTTGGGAATCCGTATATACTATTTGGTTGTGGTGAATTTTATGCTACCAAAAAATTAATAAACATTGGTATGCCTTGCAAGCGTGTTGCTACTCATTGAACACTTTGTGTATTGCAGTCAGCATAGAGCAAGGACGAGGAGACAAGAAAGGTTGGCTTTACTCCTTTGGTTTGATGTTGAATTCATAGGTCGCCGGGATGATTTTCATATAATTGACCTAATGTTTTTCAAAGAGGATTATACATAGTTGACATAATGCATTATTATTTTTATGGGGTAACTTGATTGTGCCGAGTAAAAAAGTATTAATTAATACAATTTGCTTTTAAAGACGTCCAATCCATAGCAGAGTTCAGGTAAACACTAACTCTGATAATGAAATTACAAATTAGAGGAAGTAGAATCTCAAATATATATATACACACACACACATACATATCTTCCCATCATCTTTTTCATTAAGAAGCAATTCGCCCCAATATACATAAATAATGCTTCCTCGGTTTTCTTTCTTGCACTTTACTTGACCTGCAAGCAAAATTGTCTAAATCAAATATGTTTTGAATTCAATCATATATATGGTTGTTTCAAAGGATATCTTTTCCCTTATATCTATGTTTTTCGTGACCTGCAAACAAACAATTTTGAATTAAATATGAATTAAATCACATGAATGATTGTTCCAAAAGGGTTTATCTTTTTCCCTTATATCTATGCTGTAAGATTCTAGGGATACTAAGTGCAGGGATGAAAATGACTAATTCAGCTGCATAAATACTAGTCAAATATCATAAAAGCAGCATCAATGGCAAACTAGAGCAAGAAATAACATACTCACCGGTACTGATTGTGCAATACAAATGAGTCAGTCAACACTTTTTCCCCTTCATCATTTCGGTTCCATTGATAGAGTGCATGTGTTCTATTCATGATCTCCAGTGTCGAATGGCCGTAACTCTCCTCCCGGAATGCAGAGTAATCTGGTTGGGGATCTCTAAATCTACGACACCCGGAAAAACATTTTGCTAAAGGTAATGAGAAATGCAATTTCTTAAAGATTAATTGTTAGAAAACAACAAACACCATGATACACATATGAACGTGTACAATTTTCTTTTCTCCCAAGATTCATGTATATAGAGAGTCCTTGAAAGATCACATTCCCATATCTATATTTGAATAAACACCAGATACTATTTCAGGCCTCGTACTTCAAGAAAAATGAAGAAACGGGCTATGAATTGTAACCTACCTTCTTGCTAAACCTTATTGATGTCCAACATCTCCCACAGTGATGTAAACAGGAGCTGATTCGTCTCGTATAGGGTAACATTCACCACTTGATATATTGTACCTTATATTTGAGATTCGATGCTGAAAACTCATAGGGAAAACATATGAGCATTTCTCCCAGAAAATATACCAATAATTGTAATGAAATAAAACCAAATCATATATAACACCTGAGTATGGCTGCATGAACCAACAAAGTCAAGCTCTGGGTTTCCATTGGCTTATTTTACTATTACAAAGAAGTTTTGAACACATATCATGCAATACCCTGACTGCAAAGTGAAAAAGTTATAAGGGAAGAAGCATACCGATCTTTCATAAGCACGAACATGACTGGAAAAGATTACATAAACTTTCTGATGGATGAACCATTCTTCAAACACTGCTCGCATACTTTTACCCTCCATGAAATGTGCTTCGTTGCTATTGTAGATTGGAACATGCATAAGAACGATGAGCCATGGGGTCTTCTCCCGGTCAACCCTTTTCAATTCGTCTTTGAGCCATTGGTACTGAGGTGTATATTTCACTATTACAATAAAAAACAACAATGTTACTCAAACACAAGTATTCAAGTTTTTTTTCTATATGCGTGGGCATGGATTCCGAAATTAAGTACTAAAACAAAATGAAGAGTCCAAAAAGGAAGAATATAAGAGATGATAACAAATGAGGAGTAGCTTGATAGCACAATTATATGAGTAGATGCACGCCTGATAGCATACCACATAGGACTGCTGCTTTTAGAAGCGAAATAAGGTGTAGGATATCGAAGAAGTTACGATTTAAACGAAACAACTTCATTCTGCACATTGTTTTTCAGGATTTTCTCAATGTTAAAAGCAGAGCAAAACAATGATTCGATAAGTAATTCTTGTTGAATGCTTTAATTACCATATAAGGCATGTATTCTATTTCACGATTCCCTGCAGAGCAGATCCAAGGCTGATATGCGGTACTTCTCTCAACGAACCGACCCCATGAATCCCACCGTATACCAACATCATTATACTGATATCTATCAGCATAAGAAAGATCTCCCAGGAACAACACACTCTGTGCCCTATGCCCCACTGTCCAAGTAATGCTCAAGTGTGGACAGTGAATTATATGTCTGTCCCATATCACCTGCAACATACACACAAATATATTTAAACCTTCTTCAAACTCAGATATTAGTGTTGAATGCATCATCTAGGAAAACACTCACTAATAATTCCAAATTTGTAAGGAATATCTGGACCGATCATTGGAGGTGTTTGAAACCAAAATTCTCGTGCAGATTTACCATTCCCGGTCTTGTAATAGTACTTAGTATCAAACTGAGAAGCAAAAACAAATGATTAATCAACCAATTTCTTCATATCATATATAGTTTCAGTTGGAAACAATTATAAGATGAAATCCTTGTAAGTTCAGCCATTCATGTACCTTAAGTCCATAAACAAGAACATGATGAATATAGTCAGAACTGTATTTGTAAAAGATGTAGTTAGTCATTTTCCCTTCTGTAGTAAATTCATAATTTTTATCTGATGTGCCATATTGCACTTTGCTGAACCCCGGTTCATCAGACGTGACCCATGAAATTATTACAACATTTTCATCATAGTTCCCTTATGTTATATGCACCTGTTGTTGACATGACATATATGTTATGCATTCCTTTGTAGGACACATACCCTTATCAGACCCTCATACCAGAGTCATACTAACGAGAGTAATGTACATTTAATGGTAAAATAAAGAAAAATCATACTTGTTGTGGAGCATTGTGTCCCTTGAGAATTGCAAATACTTCATGATCGAGAGGGATGTTAACCGCCGGGTACTGTTATAGTTTCATTATAGCATTTGACAGTTACAAGAAGAGTAAACTAAAAGAAGCGAGAAGGAAATATGAAGCAGGATTAATGAACCTGATTCATTAACTGTGTTTCTCTCAATCATAGAGAGCTACATTTATACAACAGATAAGAGCAACTCTAGAAGTTCTAACAGTTACAACACCTTAACTGACTCTAACAAACCTAACTATGAGAAGCCAGCTAAGCAAAATAACTTACTCCAGGTTATACACACTAATATTCCCCCTATTGTAAAAACCTCCTTGTTTAAGACCACCAACTTGCGTGAAAATGAGGTGTACACAGCACCATGCATCTATACTCCCCCTACTGCAGACTCCTCTTAGTTTAAAACACCAACTCCACGTGAAAACCTGAAGTGCGTACAAACTCATGCATCAATATTCCTTGTACTGCAATCTCAACCTAGCTTAGGCTTTACTCATTCTTCAACTCGTGAGTCCATAAATTTGTTTGGTATTTGTGACACGAGTAGCCGCTGTCTATGTTTAAGAAACATAGGAGCAGACAATGGCTTGGTTAGAACATCAGCCACTTGCTCAAAAGCAGGGACCTCTTGAACAAAGCGTTTTCCAGCAGCCACCATCTCCCTAAAAAAACAAATCAAGCTCAACATGTTTAAACTTTGAATGAAGAATTGGATTCGCACAGACTACAACAACGCTAGAGTTATCACACCACAAAACAAATTTTCCATGAACGGTCACACATAGTTCACTTAAAAGTGACTCAAGCCACGCCATCTCAGCAGTAACACGTGCAACACTCCTATACTCAACCTCTGCAGTGGAGCGAGCAACCACCTGCTACTTGCGAGAGCCCCAGGAAACTAAATTTCCCGTAAAATAGATGCAGTAGCCCGAGGTCGAACGTCTGTCATCTGCATCTAACCCCCAGTTTATATCAGCAAACCTTGTCAAGGATAAGTGAGACGATGCTGAAAACGAAAGACCAAAATCAACAGTGGCCTGTAAGTACCTTAGTATGTGCTTCACTGCCTGAAGGTGGACATCGTATGGAGACTGCATAAACTGACAGACCCTATTCACTACAAAAGTAATGTCTGGACGTGTGATAACAACATACTGCAACACACCAACAACACTCCAATAGTGAGTAGCATCCTTAATCGGTGTCCCAGTGTCAACAATTAACTTGCAACTAGTAGCCATAGGCGTGGGAAGTCCTTTAGCATCTTCCAGACTACTCTTGCACAAAAGATCACGTATATACTTTTGCTGACTCAGGATAATTTCATCACCTGATCGACACACCTCAATTCCCAAAAAAAACTCAAACACCCTAGATCCTTCAAAGCAAACTAACTATTGAGCTTGTTGATCACACCCTGAACTTCTTTTTCACAGCTTCCAGTCACAATGATGTCATCTACGTATACAAGCAAGTATACGATATTGCCAGTAATTTCCTTAACAAAGAGCGAGGCATCGGACCTTGACAGTACAAACCTTTGATCCTCTAAATACTCTTTGAGCCTCTCGAACCATGCTCGAGAGGCCTGCTTCAAGCCATAAATGGCTTTGTTGAGTTTACAGACCAAGCTACCATCACCCTGCTCATAGCCTGGCGGTTGCATCATATAAACCTCCTCAGCTAATACTTTATTCAGAAAGGCGTTGTTGATATCAACTTGCTTTAACGACCACCTTTTCGATAATACAAGTGATAGAACGATACGTGCAGTTGCTGGTTTGACCACAGGACTAAAAACTTCATGATAGTCAATTCCAGGCTACTACAAAAACCCCTTGGCCACAAGTCGAGCCTTGTGCCTCGCTATAGACTCATCAACATTCCTTTTGATTTTAAAAATCCACTTGCAACTTACTGGTTTTTTACCACTTGGCAGCGAAACAAGTGTACACGTATTGTTTTTCACAAGTGCATTGTATTCGGCTTGAGCTGCTACCTTCCATTCTGAACTCTTCATAACTTCTCGAATCGTTCTTGGTTCTTTATCTGAACAAACTACTTGAAAAATTTTTGGTTTCCGAATTCCACTCTTGCTTCGAGTTACCATAGGATGAACGTTGCCTTGTTCTTTATTACATTGCTCTTCAGCAGGTTGTGATTCTTCACATAGTCCTAGCTCATATTTAACTGTATTACCATTAAAGTTAGTTGATGCATGAGACTCATTCTCTCCTAGATCAGTTTCCTCAGCAGGTGTTATTAAACCATTACCTGCACATACATTGTCCTCTACAGCAACAGCTGCGTGTGACACATCAGACAGATGTGTGCCAGGGTTCTTCCTATAATCACAGGTTGAATTTGGTGCTTCTCTAGTAATCTGACTTGATCCTTGAGTCGGTTGTATTATAGGTAGAACATTAACCGAGGAACCAGTGCCACCATGACTTCGATCAACTGTCTTTCCCTCAGAATAAGGGAATATTTCTTCATTGAATACAACATATCATGAAATAAAAATCCTCCCATTTTCATCTAAGAACTTTTACTCTTTGTATGAAGGGTTATAACCAAGAAACACACCCTATTTCGACCTGAAATCCAGCTTGTGCTGATTAAACGATCTCAAAAGAGGAAAACATACACACCCAAAGACTTTGAGCATGGAATAATAAGGAACTTATTGGTAAAAAACCTCAAAAGGTGACTTGCCATTCAACACTTCAGTTGGCAACTGATTTATCAAGTGTACTGCTGACACAAAGGCATGATTCCAGAACTTCAAGGGTAGTGCAGGCTCAACTAGTAAAGCTAAACACATTTCAACAATGTGTCTATGCTTCTTTTCTACTTTCCTATTCTGCTCAAAGGTGCTCGGACACGAGACCCTTTGTTGAACACCATTTGCAAGAAACCAACCTTTGAGAGCTTGATACTCTCCACCTCCATCTATCTGTAGAGTTTTGATTTTAGAGTCAAATTGAACTTCAACCATCTTGAAGAAGTTAAAGAAACACTACATAACCTCATACTTTCTTTTAAGTAGATAGATCCAAGTGTGCCTACTGTAAACATCTATGAGAGAGACATAATATGCAAAACCATCAGTAGAAATAATTGGTGTTGGACCCCATACATCTGAGACAACCAACTGAAAAGGTTTCTTATATGTAGTGAAAGATGTACAAAAGTGTAATTTATGAGCTTTGCTTTGTAAGCAGGTTGTACAAACACGAGACAACTTATTTTCATTAGAAACAATTTTACACACCTTCATTACGGCTCGAACAGTAGCTATCGAGGAATGGCCAAGACATTTGTGCCATAACTCTAGTGATTTGGATGCTTTCGAGACATGATTCAACTGCTAGTTTGAGTCTTTTGTAGTGTGTGGTAGCAACTGATATAGTCTATCATGCGTGAGCCTCCCTTTCAACAGAACCTCCTGAGTCTGTGTGTCATTCACAAAACACTCAAACGGGTGAAATTCGATAAACACCTTGTTGTCACAAGTGAACTGTAACACAGATAGCAAATTCTTCTTTATACTCGACACATGGAGCATATTTTTGTAATAACAAGGGTTTTGAGTTACATAACAAACAATATTGTCCTATATGGGAGATCTTAACACCCTCTCCATTTTTCATAAGCAGTTTATTTTTACCTGTGTAAGTAGCACCCGAGTTAAAAACAGACAGATCATTGGTGACATGATGTGTTGCTCCTGTGTCTGGATACCAGACTGTATCAGCAATGTTGGTTGAGACATTGCCAGAAGGTACTGTGGAGACAAACACTGTTGGTGAGGAAGTCATTGAAGGGCCAAAAGGATTCTTCCCAATATTAGAACCAAGCGACGAATCACTAGAAACTACACCCATAGGAAGCATTGACATTGGATACGAGACTTGGGGAGTGAACAAGTGGCCACCTTGATAGTAAGGCACTGATCCAAACGACTGCATACCAGGAAAAACTGAGTTAGCAACAGGATGATAGAAGAACATAGGGGACTACGCAAAACCAGGACTCATCGAGTGTCCATATGCCTGCATGCTAACAGTAGGATATTGCTTATCACTCGAGACACAGCGAGACTATTTCAACCCATCATTACTCGACACAGAAGAGTCAGTCTCCCCAGAATACTTGTGATCAAACCTGTGATATTACTTCTGAACAACATGGCCAAATTTTCCACACAACTGACACTGAGGTCGATTAGAGTTATTGAAACGGCCATGACCTCTACCACGAAAGCTGCCACCTTATTGATTCCTTGCTGAGTTGAACTGTGACTGGGATGTTACATTGCCAACAACGGACCTTGAATCTTGGCAATCTTTGTCACCAGCATGAGTTACCACATTAGCAGAAGCACTATCGCACAAAAAGTTTATGTCGAGCTTCACAATCAAGAAGCATTTCAGTTAAAACATCTAACGACAAAGAATCACGAGAGGCTATAGCAATGATAGACTCAAATTCCATGGATAACCCAACCAAAAGAACACTAACATGTTCTTGTTCAGTTACTAAACTTCCTACAGCATTCAGCATGCCACAAATGGATTTTATCTTTGCCAAATATTCACTTACTGTCAACCCAGCCTTCCTTTGCGAATGAAGATTATGTCTAAGAGCAGACACTTTCGCACTGGACCTTGCACCAAAAAGTCTTGAGATAGCACTCCAAATGGTGAGCATGGATTTCAGACCAGTGAGGTGAGGAAGGACTTCTGTACTTACAGTGGTTAAGAGCCAAGACGCCAATAGTTTATCTTATTGTCTATAAACCACAAAGGTAAGATTCTCTTCCTCTTGTCCTGATTCATTCACAACAGACTCACTAGGAGTAGAAGCATCATTAGACACATATTTCAACAATCCATACCCATCAATGATCAACATTACTTGATGTTTCCACAAGAGATAAGTGCTCTCAGACAGTTTCACAATATCATGCTTAGGAATGTGTTGAACTGTCAAATTAACCGTAGAGGAGGCCATAGGAAAGATAACGAGCAAGTAAA